CCCCCCCCCCCCCCTAATATTTCATGAAGTGTCTGCCACTTGCTTAAAAGGTCTTAAAACTGTTTATTCTACCGATAAATAAAGGGTTTTTTATTGACTGGGATTTCAATAACTGGGACTGGGATTTCTAATAAAAATCCAACTGGGACGGGGATTTTGCCAAAATTTCAGGTGGGAAATGGGATTGGGACCCCCCCCCCCTTCAGGACCCTCTTAAACAGGTTTTCACCATGTTCAAAGTTGTGTTCCTAGACTAGAACAGTAACTAGTTACCGTAATAGACTGATTCGAGACTGAAGGCAAAAGTTTTTTCAAAGTATAAATATATAATACCATCATCATGTATTCCCTTTAGAAATTAAATTATATAAATACCGAAGATTTAGCAAACAAGCCTGACTAGCCTAGTTTTGGTGCATTTTGCACATTTCAAAAAGGCCATAATTTCGCTCGCATGAATTATTTTCAATCTCATGCAAAGTCTTACACTTTGCCCTAAAATTAAGTCTTAGTTGAAAAAAAGTTTATTAGCCCGGTAACGCACGAAACGTAATAAAATAATGAAAAATTGTGGCAGCTATAGTTTTCGAATCGGTTAATGGTATCCGCTATATATGTTGAATCTTTTTCTGTCTTGTTTTTATTTTTCGTCGTCTGTTGATTGCATTCTCGGTGATTGCAAAGAACTATAGGCTGCCCTCGCCAAAGGCACCATAACAGTAAAACGAGGGTTGGGAAGGGGGTTAAAATTGATAAATCAGTGGGTCATGTGACGGGGATTCAGACAAAATTACCTGTTGTTACTTATAAATCACCTTATATAGACACCATATTCATATGTTTGTTTCAGGTTGAAAATGAGTATGGCAGTTACTACACATGTGATCATGATTACATGAAGTATTTACAAGATTTATTTCAGAAACATCTGGGTGATGACGTCATATTATTTACCGTGGATCCTATTGGTTTTAAATCAGACATTAATTGTGGAACTCTGCCATCACTTTTCACAACTATTGACTTTGGGCCAGGTATGTGTATATTCACACAATGCCATCTATCAGGTCGATTATCTATCAATTGGTGATCAAGTCAGATATAACGTTGGCCAGACTTCCCTGATATGGACATATAGGCAGACCTCCCAAACTAAAGACTTTTTGTAGAGGCTAAAATTAAAACAGAATTATGTATGTTGGAACACTGAAACTGTCCGTGCATAGTGGGAAGTGTTTGTATTAGAGAGATGTCAGTATTAGAGAGGTGTTCGTAATGTATAGATCGAGTGTTTTCCCTATATTAAAGTTGTCCGTTGTGTAGTGATGTTCGTATTAGAGAGACGCCTGTATTAGAGTGGAGTCCATATTAGAGTGGTGTCCGTAAGAAGAGGTTCGACTCTTAGCTTATTATCAAAGTAAATCGTAAGTTAATCTCGTGTAGTGTATTGCATTAGTGTGGATCGTTCCTCCCTGGAATCAACCTGATAAATCGCGATGTATAAACGTATAGGATGGGGATAAAAGTGTAAAAATCAAGTTTACATCGCCCATAGAATATGGAGGGAGGGTGCCTACACTTCGTCATGTGTCTGCTATAAAAATTCATCCCGATACCCCAAAGAAAAAACGACAAAATAATTATACAGGTTTTATACAGGTTGTGTGTTTGTACAGATTGTGTACTATATAACACTTGAATAGATCAGGCACCTCGCCATCCAGTCATTCATTGTTTTGATGTATCAGTTTATGCAGTTTGATTGGTTTCTTAACACATCCAACTCACTTTCAGCAAATTTCGTTGGAGAAATCATGAAAAGTGTATTTTTGGTGGACGTTGTTAAGTATTTCATATTTTTAGAGAGATGTCAGTATTAGAGAGGTGTTCGTATTATATAGATCGAGTGGTTTCCCTATATTAGAGTTGTCCGTTGTGTAGTGGTGTTCGTATTAGAGAGACGCCTGTATTAGAGTGTCCATGCATTTATAGACCCTCCACTCGGGGCAAAGCCCCTCGGAAAATATCATCACTTTGGGAAATATTACGCCGAATCCCCCTCGCTCCGGGTCTATAAATGATAATTATTATTACTTATTATTATATAGAAACAGATGCCGAGGATGCACTGAAGACACTGAGAAAATATCAACCAAATGGTCCAATGGTCAACACAGAATTCTATGTTGGATGGATCGATAATTGGGGTTTGCCATTTCAGAGAAAAAATTCAACAGCAATTTCTCAGGCGTTGGATAAATTGCTCTCAATGAATGCTTCAGTGAATATTTATATGTTTGAAGGAGGCAGTAATTTTGGATTTAACAATGGTAAAAATTATGAGATATAGCTTAACTAAGACGCAGGTTAATTTTTTGTTACTCTAAATATAATATGGGGCCATTTTTGGGCCATTTGCCTTTTGCTTTTGACAAGGAGATAGGCATACATGTTTGACGAAAATCGTTTGGCTTTCTAAAATTGCTTTTCAAAAGCTGAAGAAAGCTCTGTGGAGGAGAGGTTCACGCCTTTCTTCCTTGGCAAGAGCTTATATGAAATTATGTTTAATGATGTTCTAAAATTCTTCATTTTAGGAGCAACCTGGGCGCTACTTTACCTACCAGTTTTAACAAGTTACGACTACGATGCGCCTCTCTCTGAAGCTGGTGACCCAACAGAGAAATATTTCGCAATTCGAAATGTTATTTTCAAGTATTTACCTCAACCCCCAGGCCCAGTACCTCCAGCATTGCCCAAGTATGAATATGGAAAAGTTTATTTAAAGAAGGTGATTATATCTAAATCGTATGAATTCACGACAGCCAGGTAAAGTCACAAAGCTTCTATTATACTCGAGGGATGACTGGCCGCCCAAAAAAGCGAATGATAGTGTCATTCCTATACTAAAAGTATGATGATATTCCAAGTCCCCTAAATTCTCAATCTGCTAGAAAACGGTTGAAGGTGAGAAAATATGTCAGTGAATCCCTGCTTTTGTTGTGCTGGATCCTATGGTTTTCTTTTATGTGTAATACGTTATAGCCATTGATATCTATCTATGGTTATAGCCATGCAGTCATCTTTACTTGGTTACAATCGATGCTTCGATAAAGTTTTAGGATGATTCAGAGTGCTCGTGAATATGTTAATGTCTTAATGATTCTAGGAATTTCTAAATTTATATCGTCTTTTTGCAGCTAATGTCACTCTGGGATGTTCTGAAAATTCTACCGTCAAGTAAACCCATATTATCCCAATATCCTGTTGCTGCGGAGTCATTTGGTCAATCCCATGGATTCACAGTTTACAGAACCGAGTTGAAACTGAAATCAGGCTCATCAATACTGCACATTCCAGGCGTGCGAGACAGGGCAACCATTTTCTTAAACCAGGTTAGGCATTTAAATATTTATTTACTAGCTTTTAAAATACATTTATAATTTAAGACGGCACTCTCAAAACAGAGCGAGCCTGCAATTAATGGGGGACCCGTTACATTACCTGATATTGGCGAGATTGAGTAACACAGTTACATAAGGAACAACAAAACATGGTTAACTTCAGGGGCCGGTTGTTCAAAGCTGGATTAGCGCTAACACTGTGTTAAAATTTAACCTGCTGTTTTAGTTTATGTATTTCTGGACATTTATTTGTTTCAAAACTTCAGAGAAGAAAACTCTCATTTGTCCAGACAAGATTTCCGAAGAAATATTTCCAAGTTTATAACCAAGCTGTTGGGAAGTTTGCTTTGAATTTTAGGTTAACTTAGGATTAAGCTAATTGGCTTTTGGACAACCGGCCCCAGATATCAGAGATATGCTGATTCTTATCATGCAAGAAAATTAAACTGCAACTCTAATTCTATTTGTTTCATAAGCACTACAGTATTTCTATGTTTTTCCCCAGGCGATACTAGGTGTCATTGACCGCAATGGTGTGGGAAGTATTGGTATTGACTATCAAGAAAATGATACTCTGGATATCTTAGTTGAAAATCAGGGTCATATCAATTTCATGTTATTGAACGACCCTAAAGGAATCATACAGAATGTTACATTACATGGCGTTATTTTAACCAATTGGACAATATTCCCCCTCAGTCTTGACCCTGATGACGTAGCAATGATACTTAATATATCAAACGTTCTCGGCACGCCATCGGACCCTTCCGAACCAGCATCGTTTTATGTCGGTAGTATACCCGCAATGCCTGATGGGAAACCACCGCTTGATACATTTCTGTATTTAAAGAATTGGTCCAAGGTTAGTTGAATAAGACGATTGATGATTTGTATAGTATAATATAAGGATAATAGCCTTAGGATATTATGTTTTCACCTCGGTTTGTTTGTATGTGTGTTTTTTTACCTCCGTTTGTTTGTTTGTTTGTTTGTTTGTTTGTTTGTTTGTTTGTTTGTTTGTTTGTTTGTTTGTTTGTTTGTTTGTTTGTTTGTTTGTTTGTTTGTTTTTTGTTTGTTTGTTTGTTTGTTTGTTTGTTTGTTTGTTTGTTTGTTTGTTTGTTTGTTTGTTTGTTTGTTTGTTTGTTTGTTTGTTTGTTTGTTTGTTTGTTTGTTTGTTTGTTTGTTTGTTTGTTTGTTTGTTTGTTTGTTTGTTTGTTTGTTAGCAGGATAACTCAAAACTATCGAATAAAACGTTTTATACGAAAGTTTGCTGGAGGTATGCAGAGAAGTCTCTCGAACGGTCGTGGTGCCAGGATAGGTATAGATATAACAGACGGCTGCGTGTGAAGGAGATACAATTTTCCAGATAGAAAACGAAGATTTGTTATACCTTAAATATGTGCCATATGATAAGACTAAATTGGCTCTTTTTAAAATACAGTAGTTGACTAGTTGTCTGGACTATATATGATATTTGTGAAAAATCTTTGTCCATTATTTCGAACCCTTTCCAATGTAAGACATTGAAGAGATGAATTAATAAAAGTGATAAAGACAACATTATTAAATAAAGTACCTTTTATTTAAGTTAAATAAGTTTCTTTTTCTTTTATTTTAAGGGTCAAGCATTTGTAAACAGATTTAACGTTGGACGATACTGGCCAGCAAGGGGACCGCAACAAACGTTATATGTTCCTGCCAATTCACTGAATGGAAATCCAGATTTTAACAACACGATTCTTCTATTTGAAATTGACGCAGCACCGTGTTTTATCTCTGCATATTGTTATGTTGAATTTATTAAGAATCCGATGCTGGGGATCACCGAAAATTAAAGCGCGAAAAATAGCAATAAATTATTCCAATAAACTGTAAAATAATTATGAGCGAAAACACGGCAAAATATTTTTGAGATTTATGTACGTTCCAAGATAATATTGTGTATATAAATTGATTTGTCTTTAATTAAGCCACAAATATAATCTGTGCAGGCAAAACTGCAATTTCTGACAAACGAAATGCAGCTTTGCTGAAATTATATATAGTGCACATTAATATACAAATGTGTTCTC